TTTCAAGTCAATCGTTTGAATGATGTTCTAGTTATGAGTCCACCCAGTTTAAAAAATGTAGTTTCGAGAAAAACGTGTTTGAAGTTTAAAGCGTAAAAGATTATCATTGCATGCTTCGAGGGGCTTCGATAAAACCAAGATTTCGCCATGTTTAAAAATTTTTTTTGCTTCGGGACCAAGTGCATATTGTTTTTAAACGTCTAAAGTACACTTTAAGTTAAGAAAAAAAAAATTGATTTATTGAAAATTCTAGAGTAGTGTTACCCCTTAATAGTTATGTAAATAAAAACTAAAATAAAAAATATTTTATATCTAAAGAGTGTATAAAATTACAATTAGAGCACTTGTAATGTTTACTTACTTTTCAGAAGACGCATTTTGCGATTTAGTAGGTGTTACAGTATTTTGAGGTAAGGAAGTATTTTGCGTGATAATGGATTTAGACGACCGTTGCGGAGAGGTATCCTTTTCATTGTTACTTGGACTATTGCTTTTTTTCTTTTTCTTATCTTTCTTTTTTTCTCTTGCCTTGACATCATTACTACTACAACTACCTTGACTGTTAGCATCAATACCACTATCACCTTCCTCTCTATCAGGATCTTCCGGACTTCTATTAACAGGCGAAGGTACACTATCTACTCTTTCACAACTATCGCCGCCTTCGTGCTCACTATCCTCCGCTCTATCACATTCCTCGTCTACGGATTTTTTCTCATTTTCATCTTTTTCATCATAATTTGATTCATGTTTTTTAATTTCTTCGTGAAGTTTCCGTCTTTCCTCTTTCTTCTCTAATTTCTTCTTTTTCTTTCTTTCACGTCTGCGAGCAGCAGCTGCTTTCTTCGATTCCTCTCTTGTTTTTTCCATATCAAGTTCCTCCAATAGTATTGTTGCATTTTTATTGGCTTTAGCAGCTTGAGTTTCTTTTGCAGCTCTTATTACTTTAACACACTCTTGACACTTTTCTAAAAGCTCTTTGTCGCTAATAGTAGCTATGTATCTAGTCATGTCCTGATCACTCGGGAATTGTGTTACATGATTTACCATCCACTTGACCACCTTAATATGTCCTTTGCGAAATGCCGCCATTAAACACGATACCTATACATTCAAACAAAATAAAAAAAGAAAATGAATGATCAAGAATTAAAAATTTATTAAATATTGTTCTCTCCCTTTGTTTTTCTTTATCTTTTCTTATTTATAAATATACAATACGTTATGCATACATTACAGAATACTTTAATATTCTTTCTACTAAATTCTCTTTTTACTATACTTTCTTTTCATAGAGAATACACCTATAAAAATTAATAACTGTTTATTTTACCTTACGATTGTCCTGAGAATCTATATCTGCGCCAGCATGGTACAATAAATCTACTACATTGAGATGTCCTCCATTAGCAGCAAGCCATAAAGGGCTGTTTCCTTTCTTATTCTTCACTTCAACCTGAGTACCTCTGAAAAATATATTTTATATTTTAAATTACTATCAAATTATATTCAGCGTATCCCAAAATAAACGGAATAATACAAAATATATATATAATAATAGTACCTGGATAGTAACAATTCTACGAAACGGCAGTGACCTTTGTCAGCGGCAATTGTAAGGGCAGTATCGCGAGAGGATGGAACAGGAGTTGCGTTAACGTCAGCGCCTTTGGTAAGCAATACACGACCTACTTCGACGTAACCTCCACTTGCAGCTTCCATCAATGGTGTTAATCCCGTCTATACATTAAAACATTTCACGCTTTATAATATGCTGCATAATATATACATAGTATATGTAAAAAAAATCTACCTTAGCGCGATGTTCCACATTAGCTTTTCGATCAAGTAAAAGACTAACAACTTCATGTCTTCCTTGAAAACATGCGAGTGTTAAAGCAGTATTACGATTTGTCTCTATCTGTGCATTAATATCACTGCCCATATCAAGAAGTAATTTAACCGCCGCTATAATTTAAATTTTATCTATGCATTTATGTATATGGAGACAAAATATATTTTTACTTTATTTATATATTAAATATATATTTTTCAAATTGCATACCAGTATGACCATTCATAGCAGCAAGCATAAGAGGAGAAATGCCCAATTTCGAACCAGTCCTAGAATTAATCTCGGCGCCATGGCTTAAAAGAAGCTTTATTATATTCACATAGCCACCAGATGCTGCAAGACTCAATGGCGTGTAATCGGAAACGTTGCGATGTTCTTTATTGGCACTACGATTAAGGAGAAGTTCAACCACTTCGTATCTTCCTCCGCTACATGCAAGTGACAAAGGTGTATCCTTTGTACGTTCAGATTGGGCTTCTATATCAGCTCCATGATTAAGAAGAATCTCGACTACTTTTTGATGACCAGCAGTAGCTGCTAAGATTAGCGGAGTAAAACCTTTTTTATCTCTATGTTCTGTAACATTCAAATATGAAATTTATCAATCAATATTCATTCAGTATTAATTATCCTAAAAGTGTTTTTGAAAAAGATATAAATTTATAATATTATGTGTAATTGTATAAAGATCGTATATATTTATTAACATTTTACCTATATCTGCGCCACGACTTAGAAGAAGTTCAACAAGTTCTTCATGACCACCTGCACATGCCAATGTCAGTGCTGTATCATGATTGCTATCAGTTTCCGAATCTACATCCATACATCCAAATGGCACTGGTGGTACTTGATTGGTAGCATAACCACTCACCGCTGGAACACCTGTTGTATATTGACCAGCAGCTACAATAAATTCAAAATGAAGATATTGTGAATAAACAAGATAGATTTTAATTCAAACTAAAAAAAGATCAAATTTTTATTACCTGCTGCTGGATCTAATTGATAATTTTGTGCTGGAAAGTTAGGAGTTTGTTGCTGGCTAGTAGTAGTTGTTTGTTGTTGACAAGACTGTTGCTGAGAAAGAAGCGGATATCTTGCTTTCTTCCCTTTACCTGTTGTTGGTGCTGTATAAACTTGTTTTTTGTCGGGAGGAATCACAGTTGCAACGGTGGTCGTTGCTGGTGCTTGAGTTTGGGTGGCAACCTGAACTTGATTCGTGGTACAAACTGTAGATTGTACATAACCATTGGATTGATGTGGCATATTATCCATTATTCCTGCTGCTCCAGTAATTGTTGGTAGTGTTTGGGTAGGAAATGCTTTTTATAAAAAGTAAAATAAATATGTAAATATTTTATTAATTCACATATATATATAATATGAAAAGTAAATTAAAAAACTTACTTATTTGAGAAGATTGCAGTAACAATTGTGATTGAAATGTATCGTGAATAATCTGCTGTTGTCTAAACTGAAGACCATCGCGATAACCTTCCTGGTAAAGTCGAGCTTTCAATACTTGACTATGAATTATGTCTGCTTGTATTTGCACTCCAGCACTTGTCACTTGTAAAGATGGTAAAGCAGGTAACGAAGCTGGTGGTACAGTAGGTACAGGACCACCAAAATATTCTTGAGGATGAGTTATTTGTCGAATTATTTGAGCAGTTTGTACAAGTTGCTGTTGGTTTTGTTGTTCCTTACTATTGGAAACCTCCAATTTCTTCAATTCGAGTTTCTCTTGATCTTCGGTTGCTAATGTGTAAACATAATTTCATATATAATTTATTACAGAACATAAAAAATCATAATTATTGAGAAATAGAATGTAAAAAAAATAAACTAAAAATATTTACCATCGATCGTATCATCAAAACTAATGGAACGGAAAATTTCAAAAGCATCATCAAGAGGAATATCAGTTCCATCTTCAAGTTTTATTACTCTTTCGTTGTTAGAAAGTGCTTTTGCTTTTTGAGCAGCAGCAAAGAATGGACAAGCTCCATCTCTATGTAATCTTGTTAGCTGAGGATCTGTTGGTTCTGGAAGATTCTGCTGAGATGTTGTTTGCTAGATAAAGCCAAAAATTTTTATATTATAGTAAAGAGCATAACTGAACCACTAGTTTTGTATAAATCTTTATTTATTGCTAAGAATGTAAATGAATATTAAAAAATCAACATTATAGTAAGTTTTATTTCAGTTAGAAGTAACATCACTAATTTTTTCAATAATTAATGT